AATACTTGAAAACTATTTCTATAATATGGTATGGTATGTAAATCAGATAAATATCTTTTAAATTAAGCTGAAAAGGCAATCTTGAAATATATTGTACAGTAGAACCCGGTCATGACGATGCTCAAGAGACGGTCGTTACAACCAGAGGTCGCTATAGCCATATACGTTTCCCCATATAAGTTTGTCTGGGGTCTATAGTTTTCGTCATAATAACGGGTTGAACATTATAAATGGAGTCGTTATAATCGGATTCTACTGTATATTATATATACATATGTATATAGACCAGATCTAACTTAGATATGTTACACCCATGTATCATATCTAGTCAAGTACTATTGAATGGAAATTATAAACCCTTGTCTTTTACATATATAAGGATACATAAGGGTATATTCTTTTCGTTTTTTAGCTAATCATCTGAATCTCAGAATTGTTTGTTATAGCGCTTCCACCTGTGTACAAATTATATATCCATATCTCACTCACTCTCCCTCTCTCTCTCTTTATGTCTCTTTCTCTCTGAACATGTTTTTTCTTTCTTTCCGGAAATATTGCTATTTTGGCTGCCTTTTTCGAAGCATTTACCTAAATCTAAATCCAAATGTGAGTCCAAGCCCCGGAAACCACAAAACTCATCAGCTTAGTCCAAGGGCTGACGGGCCCAACCTCCAAGCACTTTCACCTACTTCTGCCAAAACCAATCCAGTGACGCAAATCTATTGATTATTCTTGGGGCATATGCCACCCGAGCAAACAACAACAACAACAACAATTTGAGCATGGGAATAACAACAGAACATGGAACACATAACCACAAAAACACAAAATTTGTGGTAGCATTAAATAAATTCAAACAAAAAACGAAAAAAGCCACTTAGTCGACGTGTGAATACCCTTACTCGTATGTTTTAAATAGAAAGAGAAGAATATATACAAAATACATATTTGAATAGAATCATATAGATTCAAAAATTTATATGGCGTTTGGATAAACAGGGATTTATTATTATATATTATTAATATTATATAATTTCAATTATCCATATATGATCGTAACGTTACAAATTTGGGTTTTCTAACTCTTAAACTGTAGAGTATACAATTTTACTCGATTTACAACGTAGATATATCCGCCATACCTTTTTGGCCTTGGATTTCCAACGCGAGAATACATTCCATTTTTGCTTGGAAAAATCAAGTTATTCACGCCTAAATTAATACCTTTAAATACATTAAGCTCTTAAGTTCATTAAGCTCTAGCAATTGTTTGTAAATTACTTGAGAGTCAGCTAGGAAGAGAGATAGAACGCATGTGCGCAAAAGAGAAAGAGCTAAATAAATTAAGCTGTCTTAAGCAGTCAGAAGCCCTGAACATACAACAAAGTAGATAAACGTTGTACTATTTATGGTTTTGAGGCTGCGTTATAATGCGATTCGAAATATCGAAGTGAGAGTGACCGACTAAGAACATACCCTAACCTAACTATTTTTTTATGCAACAACAATAGAGAGTTTAACATTATATTACTTGAAATCAAGTGAATTTATATCGAATATCAAAAACATTTCTGGTCAAGTCAACATAGACCATAAATGACAATACCGAAACTTTTATATACAAATATATAGAGTCTCCAGCTTATATGATCTCTAAATTAAATAAATCGCTATATCTTATTCCCTTATCGATATCTATCACTAAGGGAATAAGTAATACCCAGCTATAAAGGCTGTCATTTATTTATATATCAATCTTGGAGACTCTAGATATTGCAGTTGCCAAAATTATAGGGCAATGGTACAGATATGCAGATGGGATAGTTTCCTATATCGTATATGGAATTGTTGATTATATTGGAATATTGATTATATTATATTATGGATATAAGAAACTATCCCGAATCCGGAATAGTTGATGCGATATATGAGACTTGTTAATCAAGATAAGACTGCTGTTTTTATATATAATGATAGATATAGCCTTATATGACATGCTAAGAATTGTGCCTGGCTTCAAAAATTTCAAATAGTTTCGAAATTTCACGAATATTATATCAATTTCGATCCATTTCTCCACGTTCTGCTGCTGATATTGGACTTATTCAATATACCCAATGCTCCTGCAAGCGTTTGGGCAGAAATATACCTTCGCCTGTAGCACGGAAAACAGCTAGCTAAAGTTCAACCCTAAGCTTATTGAATTTATGTATGTATGTTTTTTTTTATTTTCATGTTTACCGTTCTTTATTTGGTTGTTGTTGGTGAGTGGGTCGAATGGGTGGATGAATGGCATTGTTGCCGTAAATGTTTCAACGAGCCACACGTCGAGCAACAAGAAATGAAAATAGTTCATAATCCCCATTGATTGCCATGCCCCGACCGTGCGCCATTCCAAATTGCAAGTGCAACAGAAGCAGAAACCCAAAAAGCTTAGCAAAATATCTTAAGTGTAACAAGCACACATCCACACACACACACATTCATATACTCGCACACACTTTCGATTCATGGCAAATGCAACTCAGTAATAAATATTCCTTTTTCCTGAAACAGTTTCATGATCTAGATCCAATGAATAGTTGCTATACTAAATTATTGATATCTAATATCTAGAGCTTATAACACCCGACTTCCATTAGGCGATTACTGTTTGCTCTTTGCGGCTTGTGTTTGACTATTTTAGATATATTTATGATTATATCTATATAGAGTATATATGGCATAGTAGACTAACATTTGACAGTTGCCTTTGATGCCAACAGCATTTAAAAATTATAGAAAGGAAATATATTCTATGATATTTCCTGGAATATTGATAAAAATAAGTTCCTACATATATGATATACTACAGTATATCATATAGGAACTTATTTAATTCATAGGCTTGCAATTATAGGCATACAGAGAGAAGATTTAAACCAGATTTAGAAGACGATAAAATAGAAACTGTGTTATATAGAAACCGGGGTTTACGTCAATGTCTAAATAGAGAAAACGAATTCAATTCGAGCAAATGAAGTCTATGTAGGGGATACTGGAGTCTAGGAAAGACATCGCAATGCTTTATTATGGACAATTGACAATATCAGTGCGATCGGAGAGATAAAATATATATATATTTATTTATATAGAATATATATTAAATCAAACAATGGAACAATGAAAAGACTAAGGGCATTTTGGACAAAGCACTTGATGATAGACATCGAGCTAATCTAATCTGGAATTGTGGCTAAGCCCAAATCGTTTAGGATTTCTTTGTTGGACAGTCGAAAAGTGGCAACAGTGGCGAGAAGATGCGAAGCTCAAGGTGCTTGTTATGGATTCTGACTGTGATGCAGTTGCTCCTGGCTGCCGTTGGCCTGGAATGCTACGCCTGCGACTCGGCCGAGGATGCGGAGTGCGCAACACGGCCGGGCCAGCAGCTGGAGGTGGAGGAGTGCAGCCAGCCGAACGATGAGTGTGTGACCTCCATTACGGCGGGCCTGACGCGTCGCGGCTGCCTGCGTCGCCTCTATCCGAATGGCTACTGCGCCGAGCCCTGCGATCGCTGCACTACGAGCCTCTGCAACCGGCACGTCTTTCCGGTGGATCGGCTGCGCTGCTACCAGTGCAGCGGGGCCACCTGCATCGATGTGAGTACGCGGCCCGAGCTGCTGCTGCCCTGCCCGGTCTACAACGAGAAGGATCGCTGCTACACCAACATCTTGCACCTGAGCAACACGCAGCGCGGCTGCGAGCACACCAATCTGCCCCCGGACTGCCCCCATGTCTGCCTCAAGTGCAACTACAACGGCTGCAATGCGGAGCTAACGGTCAGCGAGAGCCACTGCCTGCAGTGCACGTCGAATCGCGTGGCGAGCAATCCGGACTGCCAGCGCGAGCAGCAGCCCGAGCAGCCGGGCCAGTGTGCGCTGTCCAATGCCACTGTGACGCAGTGCGTCAACAAGGTGATGTATGGCCATCGGGAGCGCTGCTTCACGCACCACAATAACCAAACGGAGGTGCTGCAGCGCGGCTGCTCCACCACCATGGGCTTCTTCCCCACCGGCCAGCTGCAGGAATGCTATGGCGACAATTGCAACGCCCAATGCCAGGACATTGCCTGCGCCACCTGCAACTCCACCAGCGATCCCAATTGCCGCAGCGGTCATGCTCTGAAGAGCCAACAGTGCGCTCCGGGCATAACGGCCTGTTACTCGTGCGAGCAAGGTTAGGGTGAGTCTGGCGCTGCGTGAATGTGAACTAGTTCCAATTTTGAGCCAGGCTTGGGTGAGTCAGGCGCTGCGTTAATATGAGCCAGTTCCAATTAATCAATTCATTTGTCCAGTTTCAGCTATGAGCCACTCTCTCTCCCTTTAAACTACTCTCTCGTTAAGCAATTATTTTAATTCCAAATTTAAGCTCAGTCCGTGATTTTCAACCAAACCGAGACCCACGCATGTATTGAAGTGTAAAATTGTGTATTGTCTTTGCTTCCAAATATTAACCACTCTGTAAAACAATTATTTTGATAAATGACTTTCATGGGCTCTATGAATTTTTGAATATTGAATTTACATTTAAATTTTGAGTTGAAATAAGATTTATATATTAATAGTTGCTATTTTGCCAAAATAAAGAGAAATTGCGAACTAGTTCGCAGCATTTAGATCAGGAACTGTTTATTAACTGCTTGCAGCCCTGAAGCTCACACACACACACACGCTCAGACGCATTAGTCACGCGCAGCCAACTTAACGCATTAGCATATAACAGTTATGCTTCTTTCCAGATTGTTTCTTGTTTCTTTTGTTCAGCTATTCCTTTTCTTATTCCCATTCATTTCCACAGATACGCTGCTGCGTCGCGGCTGCGCGGATGCTAACTTCCTGCCCGGCAGCGGCGAGGCTTGCCAGCTCTGCCGCAGCAGCGACGGCTGCAACCGCTGGTCGGTGCGCAGCTGCTATCGGTGCAATTCGCTGGAGCACGGCGACGACTGCGCTGCCATGCAGCTGCCGAGCGCCATGGCGCTAAGCAACTGCAGCAGCCCAGCCGAGCTGTGCGTGAGCACCGTCCTCAGCCGGCTCCAGTTGGTCTATACGGTGCGTGGCTGTGCCAGCGAGGTGCCCGAATGCACCGCTAACGATCCCTACTGTGTGCGCTGCAATGGTACCCTCTGCAACAGCGTGCCCACCAAGTGGCAGCAGCAGCAAAAGCAAAAGGAGGAGGAGGAGCAGGGGCAGGAGCAGCAGCAGCAAGCAGTGGGCGTTATAAGGGGCGTGCAACGCCTGCTCGGGCATCTATGGCCGAATCTATGAGTTATTAGCAACAAATTATTGCAAAGCATTTGTTCTGATGAATAAACAATGAGAGAGAGAGAGAGAAATTTCACACACAGACATACATATACATATATACACCCCAAACCTTATCCCTGTGCAGCGCCCTGAAATAAAACTGTAATGTTGATAAGCACGACGACCAGGCGGATGTGGAGGGAGCGAAGAGGCGGCATTAACGGTTGCCAACCGGCAACAGAAAAGCCCAAAACAAAAACAACAAAAAACGCCCCTCAAAGCCAGCGCTAACGAAAAAGAGAGTGAAACAGCAAGAGAGATGGAGCGAGAGTGAGAGTTAATGGTGAAGAAGTACGTGTATGAGAGACACTCAAAACACAGGGCTGGACGAAATTAGGGCTGGGCAAGTGCAACTGCAAACGACATAATATCACGAACTAAACAAATCCTTTTTTGCATATGAATGATCTTGTAATGTAATTCGAAACAAAATATGACAAATTTTCAAAATAAA